GCTTTGGCCAGGAAGAACTCGCACGATCCATAAATGACAAATTTTCCGTGTTCGGTTTTTGAAAGTAATGCATACATTTCCGAGCATGTTTGAGAAAAATGTTTTTACGAATATAAGGAATCGGGATGGAAATTATTTTAAGCTTATTTATATGCGCTGAAGATAGTATTTTTTTAATGGCTTGTGCTGGCCATAAAAACAAACATTTGCTTACAGTACGTCGCTCCTTTACGAGGCGGCAACATACTCGTAATTTTAAATGTTCTGTAGACTTCCAGCCCAGATGCGACACCGCGCCGTATAAGATAGAGTACACTTGAACAAATAATCATGCTTGTTAAGAATATTGGAACAATCTCTCGTAAAGAGTCATCAGTGGGCTGCAGTGTGGGTTCTTTTACATTTATATAACACCCACACCGAAATGTTTTCTTATCCCTTTTTATCCTGTGCAGTGCAAAATGAAAAATCACCCGTCCCGCATTTTGGGCAGGGTTAAAACCTTGACGTACGGCCATATTTTAGTAATAGTAGAGCTACTTGTAAAAAAGTTCTTTTTTCCAGAGAAGAACTGCCATCTTACCTATTTCTGCCGCAAAACGGTAATGTGAGCATTACTGCGTTCTGGTACAGACCCATGGGTCAACTTATATCTCACGGGCGCAGTTACAGTGTCCCTCAGATTTTTATGATTTAAAGCTCTGAGGGGCACTACTACTGTTATGGACGGACGTCTCACTTACCACCAGATGAGCGCCTTGGTCATCCCGTCACCTAGTGTCATAAAAAAAATTCTAATAAAAGTAACATTTCCTTTCAATGTAGGTGGATAATCATGTCAGTAAGCCTAAAATGTCGATTTTATGATGTCGTATTTTATATTTTATCTCTTGTGTTATTTTTGGGAACATTTCTATAAAAGTTATGTCGTCATAAATATTAATTGGTGTTGCGTTATTGTTGTATGAAAGTCGGATGCGGCTCGTAGTGCATTCAATTGCCGCAAATTGTCATTTGTTTTGTTATGTCCTATTTAGACGCTCTTCCCAGCTAACTGAGTGCCTGTCTGCATAAATTTCACTTCATAAAGGACTATATCTATGCAGACACGTGCTACAGCGTGTACAAAACGTTGCGTGTCTAACATAAAGGTAAATGTTAGAGAGTAACGGACTCATAACGTCTAATGTATTAGATAATTGTTTAAACACCTAAAAATATTTGTTAGTAGAAAACCATAATATTAATGGCGTTCCTTTTTATGATAACGAACGAGGAGTCTTTAAAAAGGTAAAAGCACCGAAATAGACTGTGAAATGATTAATTTTGTTTAAATAGTAAACAAGGGTGATAAAACTTCTATTACATACATTGAGTAACATAGATATTGTCCAAAGTATTTTGCGAAACGGCAATGGTCAATGGTTTTGAACCACGTACATAAAATATCTACAATATTTATTTAAATATTTTACACAATACAACATAGTAAAAACAACGACCTTAATGCCATAGCATAGTACAGGCACACGATGCTTTCTCTACCAGTCAACCGTTTTACCAAAAAGAAAAAATAGGTCGGTGTTACACTTCACAACTATCATTAAATCAGTATTCCACAAAAATAACATGATGCAATAAGCCAAAATTAATTCCTATGGTTTTTTTAATGAAACTAAGTGACGGGATGAACAGGTCGTACCTAGTGGTAACCGACACGCCTGTCCATAATAGTTGCAATGCCGCTCAGAGCTTTAAATCATAAAGATCTGAGGGACACTGTAACTGCACCCGTGAGACATAAGTTGACAAGTCCCATGTGCCTCTAACTTCACCAGCACCCTTACTATTCAAAACCGGTACGCAGTAATGCTCACATTACGGCTTGGCGGCAGAAATAGGTAAGGCGGCAGTACTTCCCTGGACGAACTCTTTCACAAGGGGCTCTACTGCTATTGAACAAACAGTCTTACTTCAATTATTTAATTGGGGTACTTTTGAGACTTTATAGAAGGGTATAATACTTATGAAACATATTTTGAAGTATAAATAACTTAATAAGCCGTGGTAAATCCGGGCTCGCGCTTATGAGTTTCTCGGAATTTATGTGCGAAATTTAATTTTGAAATTTACCATGAGCTTTTCGGTGAACTTTCCTTTCGGAAACGTGATGAAACCTGCATGTCGAAAAAGGTTCACTACCCTCAGAAAACGTGCCCTCAACCCGTATTGGACCAGAGTGGCAGAATATGAGCCTAATGATGAAACATTTGATCGTCGACTGAAAGACTTTTTGTTGGATAATGCGTATTATTCCAGTGAAGAATATAGGGACATGATCTTGTAATATGTGTTATAATTTATTAGATTATTGGGTATAAATATTATTTTACAGAATTGAATACATTACATAAACTTAACGCATCCAATCATTATATATTTCTATTACATACATAGACATAATTATTATTGTATAATTAAATATATTCCTACATTATTCACATAACTACATCAACAATGTTAAAATTACGTAGTACAAAACTTGAAATGGATATTTGTAATTTTTTGAAATGTAACATTTATTATTATTTGTAACGATTCTTGTAATACAATATATTGTGTATAATAATGTATAGTTTACAAGATAATAAATAAATCTAAAGCTATGGTCTAAAACCCTCGCATGAGAGACCCGTGACCAACTGTGAGATATTATAAATGGGTTGATCAAAAAACTTCAATGATGAAATTATTGAGTTGAGGCATATTTCTTAATATCTATGTACGCAATCATCGGATTAAGTACGCACTTGTTCATATAACTATTAATAGTGTCGTTATTTTTTTATAAGCCCAGCTGCTGGTTTGCAACAGCTGTTGATAAATAATTAGTTTTATCCCTCACCTGTCCACCCATGCAACTTATACAATTATTTAGGGCTCAGTTAAATTATATATAATACTTTTTTTATGACGCCAAATGACGGGATGGACAAGTCTTTCAGCCTGGTGGCAAGTGACACGCCTACCCATAACAGTTGCAGTGCATAGTACCCGTCACCCTAAGACATAAAATTGATGAATCCCACGTGCCTGTAGTTTCATCCGTGCCCTTCAAAATCGGAAAACAGTAACGCTATTACTTCTTGGCTGCAAAACTAGGTATGGTCAACGTGATCGTTTTTTTCCCTCGGAGTGGGACGATTGTAAATTCAGTATTGTTTTAAAAATAGAACACAAGTGAATGATAGCTAAAAAATGTTTATTTATGAAAAAAATTTAAAAAAAGACTTGAAATGATGATGAAAGTTTAAAAAATATGATATAGATGAAAGGTTAAGGCTGGCGTTACATATTTTTCGCTATTGCGCCGTTTTTTTTTAAATTATTGTCGCGTGTGTTCTGGTTTGTCTGTTCTGGGATATCTTTAAGTATTTTGAGGACAGCGGGATACGAAGTTTAAAAGTGGGACTGTCCTGCTCAAAGCGGGAAGTATGGTCAAATTGCTTTACAAATACATTTATCTCATATATTAATTTAAATTTGATTGGAAGTAATTACTAATATTTTACAAATTTATTACTTGATTTTTTTTTGTATAAATAAATCTTATATTGTTTTAAGGAATTTAGATATTAATAATACACAAGTGTTACAATACACTCTATCATAATATTTTAATAATGATAGATACATTGATAAACAAATGAATAATATTCGAAATGAAACTATTTTTCGTATTTAAATCGCATATATTCAAACAAAGCGACGTTTCGGGCCCTTTACAGGTCCCATGGTCACGGCTGACTGGGTCAGTGACCATGGGACAGGGTCAGGTTTACAGGTAAAGGGCACGAAACGTTAACTTGTTTGAAAAAAGAAATATACGCGATTTAGATGCGAGAAATAGTTTCATTTGCAATTTATAACAATAGCAAAAACCTAAGAACTCGATTAATAAACAATATTTTAATATAATACAACTACATACGTAAGTTAACTGAGATTATATAAATAAAAAAGACATTTTCATCCATATAATATTATTACCACGCTATCATCTAAAGTAATATAACACGATAACTGTAATTAATAAAGTTTGCGATGGATTAACGGAACCCTCGGAGCAACTTGTATAAGTACTTTTTCGTCCTTCCCACTTACATCGGCACGCGCAAAAGGTGTCTCAGAAAGAGATCTATCAGTGGTACACCGGAGCCATAATTGGTCATCCGACTTGCGCACGGACAGGTGAAATACCATATTAAAGAACGATAAAGCGTACAAATAATCCATTTATTTTTATTACAACATGAATATCCGAGTCCTCTGGGAATATACATGATCTACCGGCTATTAATATAATTATCAAAGAATTCACAGGTGCATTGTACTTTAATACCGACGTTGATGGTATGGTTTGTAACTATTTAGGGTCGTTACCCTCAATTTAATTTTCCTGAGTGAGTTCCTGTGACGTGGTAAACAAAAGGGTCTTGCCGACCAGCAACGCCCACGTCCACTACATTTACCGGCCTATATATTCCGATGAGTCACTCCTATTACACATTAATAATTTTTAATGTACTTTATAGGCAATATTATGGGTAACAACAGTGAAATGTGACGTCAATAATTATCCCTCATTGAAGATTATTAACCGGTTATAAGCCGAAGGCAGTTGGAATCATTACTAAGTTATGTCGGACTGGATACATAATCTCACCCTACAACTACCATTAAGGTATTACAGAGAGATCTGTGTCGGCTTGTGGTCATCTCTAGTTACTAAATGAATAGAAATCGCAGTTATATTGCGAAAACACTTCGTTGGATATAGGATTTACATCGAACGAGGCAATAACTGGTCGATTATCGTTGACATACTTGCTCACATATTGGCTGTTAAGAAACTAGAAGGGCTGGTAATATGCTTCATAACAATTTTACCGCATGTTCAATGCAATCCTGTACTTCAAGTTAGCATAACTTTGTTACAGGCACACGTAGTGTCAGCCTTTGAGCAAAGTCTCTCAAATATGACGCAGCGTCTTCAACAGCTTACCGCCACCGCGGAGCGAAAGGTAAGGAGTATTTCGTAAGCAATTCAAAAATTACCAACGCTCGTCTAAAGCAATTATGTGTGAAATTGAAGATGACATTGGATATCATTCTAAAGGTCTTAAGGTTATCCTTTCTATTTGTTGACCGCTTCAAATATACATATTGCAGATTTATCGTAAATAATCTTATAAGCTTAACCCGTTCATGGCCAGTAACAACGTTTATCGTAAAATTAAGTACTATAATACGCACATGAAAACAAATACTGTCTTGAGAAAACATAATTTGAAAGTTCAATAAATCACCGAATGGAACCAATACATTAATATTGTCGTTTATGAGTGGATGACTAATAATAATGTGTAAATAAAAATAATCCAAAATACTCGCAATAAGATTAATTCAGTGTTTTTTTTTTTCGAATCGTGTTTTTTCAATTCCATCATTCTGAGTTACGACAGTATTTGGGTTCATGTGTGAATGATATATTCGTTCACTGTATAAATCTCAAAAAACAAACTACGGGCTTTTATAACTATATACATATACATATACATATGCATATGCATATACAAATACATATGCATATACATATACATATACATATACATATACAGGTGACCTTATGACTAACATTAGTCATAAGATCACCTGTATACTTACCATTTATGGACAAAAAAGTCTGAAATAAATTATTATTATTATTATTATTATATTGCGATTTCTAAATATCAACAACGTACTGACAAAATTCAATGATTCACATACATTGAACATTTTGTGTTGAATCAATACAAGCATTACGGCAAGAAAAATACTGACATTTTAGTGTGCAGTACTATCCATAAAAGGGTTAACATGTAAAGTAACTAATAATTCGAAAGCACCACCTATTGAAAACATATTTTTATTAGTATTGTTATAAGAAATATAATTAACTATGAGTAATATTTTTCTAGCTCTTACTTTTTAAATTAAACACGAAGTTTTCGTATACAGGATTCAGAGTTGACGGAGCTGCGGCAAACAATCGAGTTGCTTCGGAAGCAGTCGATTCAAGCTGGTCTGACGACTGCACATATGCAGTCTATGGGCATTCGCGCCGATGGTGTTAATGTCACAGGCCAGGTAAGGAAGACACCTGATTTTTTTTATTTCACAACTTCCAGTCCAGAAGGCCGACTCTTGTACGTCGCGATACTTTATCAATTTCGTAGTAATGTCACATCTCTAAACAAAATGCCACTATAAATACAATATTGATTTCAAAACCTTTTGACTTTAAGACAAAACTTTTATTCTCGGTGTCCATAGACAGTCCATAAATGGAGATTACTCCATATCTTCTTTTTCTTATAGTTCGTCTACTATTGGAGGTTCTATCCAAACTCCGACAGGACAGTAAGCTGGTATTGCAGTCGAACCATAGACTCAAATTGTTTAACTTCACACTTTTTCCGGCGATTTCACACCGAGGAACCTAAATACATTTGAACGAAACTATATTAATAACTCACTCTTCAATCCAGGGCAACTTTGCAATAGTCAGTTTTGTTTGTAAGGAATAAGGGTTATATGTAAATCTCAATTTTTGTCGTTCAGTTGGATAGTTTCTTCTTCTGCACTCTCAGTGTTCATAAACTTCTTTGTTAATTATAAATAATACTGCCAGACAAACATAACGGTGACCAGGTCACAAACTAGGAAATACAGTTTACTTTGAGTACCAGAACGATGAAATTAACTCCGGTGCAGTACGGGCTACTGAAGTCGTCGCTTCGTTAGACAATATTACTACAACAAACGAATAGTTTAATAGGCATATTTGACAAGTAAGTAATTAAAAAATAGACAGAAATCGATGGTCAAGCGTGAAATCAAAATTGACGTTGAAAAACAAAACAAGTATAAGTATTAAAAATTAAGTGTTAGAAGGAGACAACAATATTTTTTGTATCGTACCAATGTTAACGGCGTGATTGGATGCTGATAAGCAAAATAGTGTCAACCAACATGACTATAGTTTTACCAAAATGGCATATAAAGATTTTTCGTTATTTTAAATAGTATGTTCTAAAATTTAGGTTTTTTTTTTATAACATCAAGTGTAGTAGCGTTACTAACAAGTCTTACGGTTAATGGTAAGCTACATGCCTGTCCATAACAGTTACAGTACCACTGAGAGCTTTAAATTGCAAAGATCTGAGAGGCACTACCGCTGTGCCAGTCACCCTGAGACATAGATGCCAAGTCGTCTCATGTGCCTCTAATTTCACCAACACCCTTACCCTTCAAAACCGGAAGACAGTAGTAATGCAGACATTACTGTTTGGCGGCAGAAATAGGTAAGGCGGCAGTACTATCCCGGACGAACTCTTTCACAAGGAGCTCTACTGCTACTAAAAGTAGGTACCTACTTGTAAAATGAAACCTTTTGCTGTTGTAACTTCAGGAACGATGAATTGTTGTGATTTATTACTGTAATTCTCCAACAACAACAAGTACAACAGCAAAAGTTTTCATTTTATAAATACCTAAATTTTAGAACAAACTATCAAAAACATCGAAAAATCGGTTAAAAGGTGCCATTGCGATGATCATGTTGGCTGACACGTTATGGCTTATCAGCATCCAATTATATTTCCAAATTTAAAAAAAATTATATATCCAATTATAATTTTGCTAAAAAAGGACATAAATATAGTCCCCCATCAGTAACTTTTGTCACGAATACCTCAGGTGTTAGTTGAGACATCGATAAAAATTAATTATTTATTAATTAATTAACGTGTTTTATAGTCCAACACCTTTGAATTTTATGCCATTTGAAGAGAAATTTAAAGCCATAAACCTAGAATCTTCTACGAGGTGTATTACATACTTAGTGCGTTACAAGTAATTAATTAGCAGGTGCATCGTTTTGAGATAGGTACACAGACGACGAAGTTTTCCCGTTGCCATAGAATAAAGAAAGTCTAATCCTATCAATAAATTCGATACTTCGAGAAAGAAAGTACCCAAAAGTCAATTTTATCAAAAATTAATAGTTCTTGTAGTTCTATTTTCATGCTCCTTCAGTCTGTTTATTCAAAGTTTGGTTATTCGCCAAAACTGTTTTTTTACACAAACTTGAAAAATATAACAATCAAAACCGTTTACAAATTGTTGTCAAAGTCAAAGTCAAATAATCATTTATTTTTGCATTTGAAAACATCATTTTTTAAGCTACTGCTCGTTCACTGTGTTGACTTCCCTGAAAAGAACAAGCAAGAAACTCTAGGGATTGCTACTTTCAAATAAACTTTAATACTATGGAATACACTTTGAATAATGTTTATGTGCAATCTAGACTAATGTGGTCTTTTCGTACATCTAAGACATAGTCTACAATTTTGTAATATGATAATTTTGATGTAAGTTTTAAACTTAGGAAGTAATCATCTTTAATTATAAGCTCCGGAATCTTACTGTAAAAACGTTACAGCTTCCCATATACGAGTAAGAATCGATTACCTTAGTTAACTGCTTAACTTAACTGCCTCTGTGGCCGAACGGTTACCATGCCGGATTGCCACACAGAGGTCCCAGGTTCGATTCCCGGGTCGGGAGAAATATTTGTATGGCCTACATTTATTTATCTCGTGAGTTTGAGTGTAATTTGTATATATAGACAACTATGTGTGTGTCCATGGCATCCGCAACACAGGGTTTCCCTAGTGCGGGGCTTCCCTAGTATGTTGAGTGTGTGCGTTATTATTATTATTATTAAAGAAAATCTTAGTTAAAGGCTTAGATCTAAGGTTAATATTATGGATATCTTCTTTGTTCGTAAGAAACAAAATACAAAATATTTCAATATAAGTAAATGTACTGTGATGCCACGTCAATTGTTTTTAACTTGTGTTGTAAACTTTGTAGTTTCGACTTTCTAAGCATCAAAATATTACAATGAAACCTCGATAACGACGATGAAGTGACAAGATCTTCGTACAAAACATTTAGGTGTTCTTAGATTATTTGATTTTAAAATCTTTACTTAATCGTGTGTAAACATATCATATTATTTTGCTGTTTCGGACGTGTCGCAACGTCCAGAGTCTCGAAGGAACCTTAGTAAATAAAATATTTGTATTCACGACTAAATTATTATTTTGAAATTAAATAATGAATGGAAATCATGGAAGCATATGTTGTGCAATGTTCTTAAAATATCACTTACAAAAAACTTTAAACGCCAAGATTTATAATAATATTCCGTATGCCCCATATAACTAAAATGCTGCTAAATTAGTCAGTCGTTACTTTCCAAACTTAAGATGCGTCTTCATTTAATTATCTTCTCTATTAATTATTTTTTTTATTGCTATCATGTTAGTCTTAATACTTATTATTAAATTAAAGTTAATTGTCTGCTCTAGAACTTGGACAACAATATTATACAACATCACATACATTGGTCTGATCGCAAAGTAAGTAGCTAAAGCACTTGTGTTATGGAAATCGGAAACAACGACGGTACCACAAACACCTAGACCCGAGACAATATAGAAAAGTTAATTTTCTACACTGACCCGACCGCGTATCGAACCTGGGCACTCAGAGATGGCGATCCCATGAAAACCGGTGTGCAAGCCACTCGACCACGGAGGCTGTCAAAACGAATAAACCTAAAAATAATCTAAACGGTCACAAACTCATAAAATTTTGAATACATTGCTCCTAAGAATTAGGTAATCTGGTTAACAATTTATTAGTTCACATCCCTAGTTACTGACTGGTGTCAAAATAGGCCTATTAGATTGTGATGACTACAGCGTCTGCATAGGTATGAACAAAGCCCGTTTTAATCTTCCCATTAGGTTCTGACTAATACCGCTCTTTGAAAAAATCTTTAATTGCCTTTTATTTACCTACTCCAAAATAAATACATCGAAAATCGGAGAATTGTTCTTTTAATTGTCCGTATATCGGTCACCGCAACCAGCTCTCAACCTACCGCTCATTAAAGAAGACATATTTACACATTTATACTAATAAAGTGACATGCATCAGCGTTTTTGCCTTAACTCAATGTAATTTACGGAGATTACCGGCGGTTGTAATAACTTCTTCAAGACTGCCAGATCGAAAACGACATCTGATGTTTAGTAGCAAATACGGCCGTGGACAAGGCAGCCAGTTGTATTTGCATTAAATTGACCATCAATAGATCTGTCCCCGTTCTACTTCGGAGACTCGTTGGGAATCAATAAGTGACATGATACGCTTGGGCCAACGTTATCTCCTCGGAATTTGAATATAGAAAGTAATGACTGACATAAGAAAGACCCGCTAAGGGTGTCCTGTGTAACAATTTATGGTATTCTAAGTATCGGACTATTAATTCATCGATTAATTGTTAAAACTTCCCGTGTATACTTTGCGCACGGATGCTTTGATTTCTAGTACGGTAAGTAGTTCAGTAATTGTCGGCTTCTGTAATGGATTCGGATTTTGTAATGGAGTCTTTACAACTTTACGCAATAAACAGATTTTTTTTTGTGTTCGTTATGCTATGATTACATTATTTTTTGTGCTAGTTCGATGTTGAGTTTTTGTTTTTAAACTTAATAAATAGTATTACGTAAATGTAAATGGCAAAAAAAACGTTAAATTTATTTAACAGGACAAGCATTGAGTTCCGTATTTTTTCCACAGCAAGAGCCAAACACGCAAACGCAGCAATCATCTCCGCAGCGTACAGCACAAGGTGGTAACGGTGCAATCACCAGGCACTTATCCACCGATAGCGTCTCCAGCATTAACAGCCTCAGCAGTGGGTCTTCTGCACCGCACGATAAGAAACATAAGAAGAAAGGCTGGGTGAGTTCAAATATCTGTATTCGTTTCCTTGTATGGTATTTGAGGTATTTTTTTTACATTTTAAGAAAATTCACGTGCGTTTATTGTAATTTCATAATGCCATCCAAATCTACAAAGTGAAGAATTTAATTACTATAATAATTGTACCTACTAATACTCAAGGTTCTACGGTGTCCTTTGCATATTGGTGACAGGCAGCGACTATATTTAGCAAATGGTCGATGCTTGACTATAGCGACATCAGCCAGTGGATTCAGAACCTTACGATAAGTCTGTTGTCGACTGATTCGATTAAATATCGTACGATTTCTTTTAATTTTTATTCACAATAACCGAATCGAACGTCAAGCTGTCATATTCGAATCCTACCCGAAACGACATAATTCCCGTACGATTACTCGTACTTCTCGACCGGCAAAGGCTACAAACGTTATTAATGAAAGTTACCGAACGTCCTATTGTTTACAAAGCAAGAACGTAATATGAACATATTTTATTATTTTAAATAAAATCTGGATTTTGTACAATTTTATTAATTTATTTTAATGCAAGACTAATGCTATATATGTTAGGCCTTTAAAGTCTTAAAAATGTATTTTCATTTTTCATTTTTCTTATAATCTATATTCGCCGACTAACTCCATAAACGTTGTTGGATAACGAACTCGAATGTTCTGAATATCTCGGAAAGCGCCCTTCGATTCGAGAACGATATCCAATCGAAATATTCGGTTAAGATATCGAAGAGTTCTGAATCAGGGTCCTGGTGCTGCTGGTGTCTTTTCTTTTACTTTGAATATAGTTAAATGTAGCGTAGTGTTTCTAATACAGGATTATTTGTAAAATACTAACACTATATTACTAACATCATAAATAACAACTGTTGATTCACTGTTTTGTTCAGATTTTACTTTCGTACTTAAATAAAAACGTTTAAATAGATCATTCTAAACGCTGATAACTTTGTGCGGTAATAAAAGAATGTGCTAGCACAAATACCCGTCCGATGCCAAACACAAGATCTTCGTCGCTGAGAACGTTTGCGCGTTTGAACTGACTACTTTATGATTTAAAATATTAATTTCTCAAAAGAATACAAATTCACTTAGCGAATAATACAAGTATATCTTAAAATTTCTACAGAGAGTACCTACGTGCTGACAAAATATTGAAATGAAGGTACACAGATAAAATTTCGTGTTCTAAGAAAAAACGAAAGCAATGCCCTAATCAAGTATTGTACACCAATTGTCATGGTGACTCTTTAATACCAATAACAACCGAGAAATTCCTCATGATGTCGAATTTTAATTATTTTTTAAAAATAATTGGAAAGATTGTGTTTCTTTAATATCTTTTGGTAATTTGTTGTACATTTGAGCTCCTTTGTACATTATGTTTTTCTTTCCATAATTCGTCCGCGATATTTGCAAATATATATCATTAACACGCTTTTGAATATATAGTTTTTTAGTAAAGTTTATTTGCGAATGAACATTTTAATTTAAACTTTTCTATTCAATATACATGTGTCATATTAGTACATATGGGAAATGGTCATTAATTTTGTATTCTGGTATAAGGCCTAATACTTTAGTACCAAATACACCTGTATTTGGTTTTAATTGTAGTGTAGTTTTTATTGTACTATCTGACATTTTTTAGACCTCTAAAAAACTTTAGATAGTACAATAAAAACTTAAAATTTAATTTTTGGTAAATTTATTATGTTTTGTATAAAGTATTAAAACAAAAATTGTCGTTTATGATTTAGTGATAATCGTGCGAGGTTGTTAAGATTGTACAGTTATTTATTTTTTTACAAACAATGTTAGTGCAGGCATTACACATGTAATTACTAAGTACATACCCCATTGGGATGTAACAAATAATTAATACTCTCTAATAATAATAAGTAACACAAACAAACATAGATAATACATAAATACATAAAATACACATAATATTTACCCTATATACAATTGTTTTCTTGTTTTATCCTGTCTACTATTTAACGTTCCCATTTCCATGGACTATTCCTAATATAAATAAATCCTCCACAGCTGCGCTCATCGTTCACGAAAGCATTCTCTAGAAATGCGAAGATATCAAAGACTGCCAAACATTCTTCCTTGGGGCAATTGTCGTCACAAGACAGCTCTTCAGGGTCCCATCACTACGACGACCCGCACACAATTCGTGAAGGCAGCAACGAAAACAGTCTGGAACATTCGCATGAAGCGTTACCCGAAGCCGTAAAGGAAGCAGCACCCAAGACTGACGATACCAAAGGTAAGTCCTTACAACTACTACTACATTAGCTACGTGACGACTTAGCTACGATTATACGTGATTCCCACACTACTACTAAACGTAGGCCACGCAAATAAGAATAAACAAAACTATCACCACAACAACAATCAATCTTTTTCAGACATGTATTTAGTGACAGGTGCAATAAACGTTCTATACAGTGTAATTTTTTTGTAACTGGTCTGTATGGGGAAATCATAAAACATAGAGGGAAACTGTCTTAGGAACCACTAGGTCTTGTCTTGTGAAAACATATTTGACAGAGTCAATTTTTCGGTCAAACGTGTCCATGAAAATAAATAATAATGATTTTTTTCTTTTGAGTTCTTAGCTGTGAGTGTGTGCATTATTATGATTATTGTTAACTATTATCCTTAAGTGCGTACGATATTTACTGTTTGACGTCCGATACTGATAATTTATAATATAATACAAAAAGCTGGAAAACGCACGTAACGTTTCAGATTTCATATCGCCACTAATACAAGCTAGAACACAAGCTCGACAAAGTAATAAAATATCAAGCTGATTGGATAAAGACTTCACATGCTTTTCTCAACTTTATGGCTTTTCTATTTGACCTTATAGGCTTAAAGCACCGTTCTAGTCACTATAAATTTAACAAGTTAAGAACTTTGCTTTTACATCAAGTCGCAATTGGCGTAAAAGTTTGTGAAAGCTGTAGCATGTCTTTAGACTTCCTTTTTTGTTTTACGTCTTATGTTAACGCTAGAAGTGCATAAACTTTATACCGGGAAATCCCCATACGAAACGGGCAAACATATTATTTGTTGAATTAGATCATTCAGTAATGCCTCTCAGACTTGTGATTCTCTAATACGAATGAATTTGTGTGCTATTGCAGCGTTCGGCAACCTTTTTGCGAACAAGGGCTACAAACTGCAAAATAAAATTAAGGCGCTTGTTTCTAATATCACGAATAGATTATATTGGATGTATTAAGTAAGTCAACTGCCTCGTGACCCAACGTTTACCATGCCTGACTGCCACGCAGAGGTCCCGCGTTCGATTCCCGGGCCGGGAGAAATATTTGTATGGCCTACAATTAGTTCTCTCATGAGTTTGGGTGTAACTTGTGGTTGTCTATGGGTGTGTCCGTGACCTATAAGTTCATCCGTCCGTGTTTATATATTTAAAAAATAGTTTAAATTCCTACGTTTAACCGCGAAAGCGTTAAGAACTCGATAAAACAAAAATACAAGATCACTGATTTTAAAGTGTCGTTAGATTAGACGGAGTGCGGCGCGGAGGAATGTATGTTTATCAAGGACGTTTTAAATGAGTTCAATTCCACGACATTTCGTATTAAGTGCGAAATTAAAATTTTTCAGAAGACTAACCTGGACCGCAGATTGCCTACCCCTGTAGGTACAATAGCATTTCATTAAAAAATAAAAAGCAAAAACTTACATATAATCGTAACATAATGTAGGTACGTACTCGTGTATATGTACATATAAAACTTACAAAATGTGTGCGCGCGGAATGCGTTTTCATTGCAGTGCCCGCTTTGTTCAGTCCCGTTACCACCAAAAACATGCAGCTGCTTTGGAAACAAACATTATGCAACTTTAGTAACGCTACTTGCGTCGTTATCGACGTCTACATTTTACAAAACCATGAATAGAAATTTATGCAACACCTCATATTTTGAATTTTGTGTAATTGTTCCATTCAATTTAGAAGAAAAAAATACAATACTAATATTGCAACAACTCAACAATTTGCTTAAAAACAATAAACTATTTAAACGATATTTTTAACCGACTTCAAATAAAGAACGAGGTTTTCGATTCGACTGTATTTTTTGTGTGTAAGTTACGAGATCATTCCGACATTTGTGAACCGATTTCGATGACTCTTTTTTGGTTGGGAAGGTACCCCAGTAGTGGTCCCCATTCAAATTTGAAGGCAATGTTTCACCTTTAAGGATGGCAAATTAGGGGTTGAATCCAGTTTATTGGATTTCACTCACTTTCCGCTCACAGATTTGAATAAAACTTGGCAAATAGATGTGATTCTACAAACTTTTGAGGTTGGTTTTTTTTTACTTATAAAAAAGTTTAAAATTGTCGTTGTTCATTAATATATATATTGTCTAAAACATATTTTCCCAAAGTAGAGGGACTACTCATTCACCCCTCACGGTGGGCGCTGAAGAGTCCTAGGAGTCTCGGAAGCAATTTTGGGACGCGTTGATGTTGTCCGCATTAGTAAAAAACCTTAATTATCCATATAAATAATACTACATATATATAATTTTTTCCTTGTGAATTTTTTTGTGTATGTTAATATAAAAAATACGTGTTTTCAATTATATTTTGTGGTGGTGAGCGTTGAAATTTTTTTATCTTGCCTAAGTGGGCAGTGAGCTAAAAAGTTTGGGAACCTATGGTCTAAAAGATTGTTAGTTAGATATGTAGAAATAAAATATCTACAAATATGAACTGTATCAAATCGTGACTTACCCTTCTCGCCTAAAGCACCGAGCTTCATTTCCAAGATGAACCTTAACATGGCCTGCACGACGGCAGGACGACTTGACATGCCCACTGGCAAGAAATAGGTGATCTTCCGACAATCAGATAATATCTAAGACAAATATTGTTTAAGGAATAGAACAGAATTACATTTATATTGTTTCCATTACCGTTATCGATGTTCCATCGAGTAATCAGAATGTCCGAAGTAGATTTGTGAAGCCCGTTCGCACGTAATATTTTCCACGATTTTGATTAACAACTTTGATCATAAAGTCGTGATTCAGAGTAAGAGGAAACCGCGCTCTGGAGGAAACTAGCTCGTCAGATATTTTGCTAGACGGAGTAATTTGCACAAGTAACAGATTCAGGGAAGAAAAGGCGTAAAAATCATTTCCAAAAAAATTATTATATTATTGATATTGTTGAGTCAAATTTGCATGCTCCTTTGATCCGTCGACGCAAAGATCTAATATTCGCCAAAAAATGGATTTTAAAAATTTTATTTTTTTACAATAATAACGCACACACTCAACATAGACCCGCACTAGGGAAACCCTGAGTCGCGGCTACCTACAGAATATCAAAGACAAAAACAAATTAACTAATATTTATATATTTTTTGCTTTTCATTCGTCTTAAGGCGCCTTCAAATAGACGCTTATTAGTGGCGCAGGAACTTATTACTTAGTAGTGGCGCAGCAACCGCGCCACTACTAAGTTTCTTACAATATTTAGAAACGCAACTGCAGCGCACATTCGCACCACGCGCGCGCCACTTTCGCAGACTAGATATAGCAGAAAATCAGTCCGCGCCACAGTCACGCCACTGCAGCGCTTCTACAAGCGCTAATTTAAAGGCGCCCCTAGAAACTCAGTAGGTTTGTTTTTACGACCTTACTTCTCCGAAGTATCGATTACAGGTTATACGGTTCTCGTTGCATAACCCACTAGGTTAGGTGTAGGTGTCAACACGGTATTTTTTTCTAGCACAAAGCAGGACTGCCGTATTCTGGATTGAAGGATAGGGAAATCCATCACAAACACAAGGACTTAGATCTAGATGTCCCACAGACTGCAACGTCTTTGCATGCAATGGTAATGAGACTCTTCATTGTACTGCAATTGTCTATATTCGGCGGTACCCACTTTATAATAGTTGGACCATCTGATTTTATGACGTCAGCCAGACCTTTGTTTAACATTATAAAATTTTAACGTTAACAGGTATATATAATTTCTATTTATGTTTGTCTACTCAGTGATAAAAGTTATTTCGTTCAAAAATTGCCTTTTTTTAAATTGAATTCAAGAATTGATTGATATAGTACAAACTATGAACTACGATCGCGGCTTAACTTACTGCAAACAGCCATTCGTGTGTATAATTACTTGCCACATGACATAAAAATATTACATAGTACAACTTTTGACAAAACTTTAAAGATGTGGCAAATAAAAAAATGTTTTTACAGTTTAAATGATTTTTTTTATTATAAGCATTATGAATAAATATTAATGAAATTACATTAATGTAATAAATATGCTTTAAAATAAATATGCTTTATATACAAGTTTAGTTTAATTTCATAATTAATTTGTACTTTAAACATTGTACACGCGTAGCGGGCGGATTGTGAGGACTCTAATTATGTTCATAATACCTTAATAATTCTATTCTATTATAAAAATAATACTAAGTGTACGGAGTCTGGCGGTACAACCGGGTTTCTAGTAACATCATGAGAACAGATCACAGTGATTGTGAATAAATCGATTGTGCGGTAGAGCATCAATGCAATGAATAAAAAATATCTGTGCGCAAAATCTGCGAGCCCCATTGCATTGATAAAAGTATTCCCACGTACCAGAAATGTAACTACGCAGAACCATTGCATCTTCTGTAAGGAAAATTAGTTCCACTGGATTTAAAAATAACGAAGTTTAAACATATTTGCATTATTCCATTTTAAACTTATTACACAATTATTTAGGATAATTTATATATATCATAGACAGTCAAAGATAGTACAAGCATAATATTATATACTTTACGACGAAGTGTATTTTTCTCTTAATAGAGAATGCCTATTAAGATGGACACTGAAATATCGAATATTTTACTGAGGTTCATCCTTGTTCATTAGTCTATGTTTGTGTAAAATTTATAATGTTTTGATAAATAGTCTTTTTTGTTATTAAATACGATTTAGGCATATAGTGCCTTTGCTAAATTAGCTTTGCTGTTTGTGTGTCTATTCATATCAGACATAATTATTAATTTTAAAATTGATTGCTTTTTCACTAACTTGAATTGCAATTTGAGTAACAAACGGATTCTTTGTTCCAGAAAAACAAGATCAAGCATTAGTAGATGAACTGAAACGGCAGCTTCGAGAGAAGGATCTGGTGCTTACGGATATTCGGCTGGAAGCCCTCAGCTCGGCACATCAACTCGAAAGCCTTAAAGATACTGTTATCAAGATGCGGGTATGTCAAAATGATTAAGAGATCTTCTTTGAACTATTACCAACAATACTTGTAGTTTGCATAAGAAAACGTATTGTTCAAAGTAAAAATTGCATTTGATTAGGTACAATGAACAGCACGCTAAACGTTACATCTCGAGTTCAAAGTCAACACTATGTTACTTCTAATAAAAACGCTGTAAAACTGAGTACGCTGTGTCTATCCTCATAGGACCCAGCAAGCTGTAATGGGAAAAGCACTAGACGTACTTTAACGTGAACTAGA